CCTTGAACCAGGATAGTTTTCAGGCTCATTCCTAAATTTTTGAGCCATACTTTTGCTTCATGTAATATCCTAAAACAATACATCTTGCTAGCTGATCTTGTGGTGGAGGGGAAAGCTGAAGAAAGTGAGATAGAGGAGTCAGTAAATCAAAGGAGAGACACAACCACTTGCTCTCTGCATGTGACTGACAGGAAGGACAGCAAGTAGGTGTATTTATAGCAGCATTCAGAGAACAGCTTACTGAGGACAGACAGACAGAAGCAGCAGGCTGTTGCTTTGCAAGCTGGTACCAAGCTTGATTTCCAACTTGTGATTAAATTCCACTGAGGTCCCGTAAGTTTCCAACACCACTTCACTATTACACAGAGAAAACTGCTTACCAGGAAAGTCAGGATTAAGGCTGCTGTAATCAAAACACGGTTATTTTTGTTGTGACAGGTCAATAAAGATGCAATAATGCAATGATATTACAACGAATGCATTACGTGCAACCCCAGCAACAAGCAGGGTGTGCTGCTGTCCCTGCTAAGCCCGAGGAAAGCGGCAGGTGCTCAGGTATGAGACAGAGCTCCCAGGCGCTCCCTGAGTGAGACCCGGGCACGGGGCTACTGGAAAAACCCTTTATTGCAGTGACAAGACCACCACGCTCCTCCCCACCCGCCAGGCTCCATCCCCTGACGGACGATGCAGGGACGGTCGACAGGCTCCATCCCCCGGCGGAGGACCCAGGGACGGGCGCTCGGGCAGGTCCCGCTCGGGCAGGTCCCGCTCAGCGCAGCCGCCGGGCCTCGCGCTCCGACTCCAGCAGGGTGAGAACGTCTCCCTCTCGCACCGGGCCCTTCACGTTGCGGATGATGGAGCGGCTCGTGTCGTCCATGAACTCAACGCGCACCTGCGGGGGCGGCACCGCGTCAGCCCGGCCGGGCCCGGCCCCCGCACCCGCCCGGCCCGGCCCGGCCCGCTCACCTGCGTGCACTGCCCCTGGGACCCGGTCCGGCCCAGCACCTTGGTGACCTGCGGGGACAGAGCGGAGGGTCAGCGCGGCCGCGCGGCCCCCCTGGGCCCCCCGAAACTCCGCACACCCACCCCGGGCCCCCCGATGCCCCTCACACCCACCCTGGCCAGCTTGATGGGCTGCACGCGGCTCGTGTCCATGGCGGCTCCGCGCAGAAAAGGGCGGCACCTCCCCGCGCCGCTTTATATAGCGCCGAGTCTCGCGAGACCCAGCGCGCCCCGCGCGCGCTCCCGGCGCCCCCCGCGGCGCTGCCCTTCACGGCGGCCCAAGATGGCGACGGCGACGGGAATCATCCAAAAGCTCCGAAACTTCCTGGCGGGGGTGAGCACAGCGCCGGGCCCGGGGGGCCGAGAGCAGCCCCTGCCCCGCGGGGCGCTGCGCTGCGCCACCGGCTCCGCGGAGCCCCCGGCGCAGCGCGGCGGCCGCCCCGCCTGAGCCGCTCCGGCCTTGCCTTGCAGCGGAACCTCCAGGAGAAGCTGGCGCTGCGCTACGGGGAGATCGCCAAGAGGTGCCGGGGCCGGGCCGGGCGGCGGGCGGGGCGCGGAGCGGAGCCGGGGCGCCGCCGCTGATGCTCGGAATGCTCTCTGCCCAGGACCCAGCCGCCGCCGCGGCTCCCGGTGGGCCCCAGCCACAAGTTCGCCGATAACTATTACTGCGGCCGGGACGGGCGCCGCGAGTCTCTGCCGCCCGTGGTGGTGGTGGCGGCGCAGAAGACTCTGGCTGCAGGGGCACAACCCGCCAGGTAGGTCTGGCCTGGGCGGTGCTGTCGCTGCTGAGCGGGCTCAGCCCTCATTTACACCAGGAGCGTGGTGCAGTTACCCAGGTTGGTAGAAGAACATGGAAGTAATTGTTTGTGTCGGTGTCTGTTTGCGAATAAATGAGGTGGCAGGAAG